CGTGTTGAACCTCATCAGGTTCACCCGGGCCCACCTTTCTAGCCTCTCGAGGTCCCTCTGAATGGCATTCCTCCTTCTGAGGCTCTGGGCAAAGCAATCAATCTCTGCTTTAAATTTTGCAACCAAACAATGAGAAAAGTAAATGAGATTTACATCTCCTGAATGGCATCTGTGAGGATGGATCATCTATTCCTGTAAAGTTCTTGAAAAAGGAACCAATACAAGATTGCATTTTGAGGGCAATGTTCTGAACGTAGCTTTTCATGCATGCACAGATGGGTCTCACTGGGGTAATAACACTGCAGAGTAATGTCTTCTGTTGTACAGAACAAAGTAAAGCGTGGTTCCATTGCGAGTTATTCTCTCAAGTTGTGCACACATTTGGTGTTGTATGAGCTAATTAAACAAGGATGTATCTCATATAAACAAAAGGAAATGCCACACGAATTGGGAACAGAAGGAGCTTTAAATGCACTCAAAAGAGTTTCCCTCCCATCTTCATTGTGATTTAGTTCCTCTAATTTGACTTTTCATTGTTAAGATTATTGCCATTTTAAAAATGGCCATTTCTAGAGGGGCTCTCACTCTCTATGCACTAACCACTTGGTCCTGGCCAGTGAACTTCTGATTTTATCCTTCTCAGGAATACCACCTGAATTCCAGCAGCCTGATGTCTCTCTTCTGCTGGGTCTCCACTGCCACCTCCTGAACAGGAAGGAAAAAGAACTGCTCTCAATACGGCTTTTCTTTGGAATGTCTACAGAGGTATCTCTCAACACACTGTCCTCTGTTCAGCACAAAGACAGCAATATTTGGAAGTCTGCTCTGTAGCATACAGCATACAGGCTGCTCTCTGTAAAGCCTATTGTAAAGCTTTTACTTCAGGGCGAAATTTCCTTAATTTACATTATGTGTGTCTGATATGAAGAACGTATGACATTTATACATACCACTTCTCCAAAGCTATTCAAAATGAAAAGCTAATTATTCTTAACTTCTGACAGATTTATTCCTCCTTCAGTTGTCAGCCAAAAACCTCTTATGAAAACAGTAAATTTTACTAGCTCTCATGTGTCACAATTTCATACTGAATAACAGTTATTTCTGTCCCTTTTTCAGTCTGAAAATCCTGCCTGCTAACAGATGAGACCCAAGATATCTTAGAAGGAAATTTCTCCTGCTTCAAGGTACAGTTGTTTCTGATATTCTCTTTATCTTTTCTTTCTGTTGCTTGCAGCCTGCCTATTCCTCAGCCTGGAGCTGAGGGAAATTGGCTGTTGGGAAAACAAAACACTGCAGACCTTCCTGCTATCTTTGTAAATAATAAACCAGTTATGTGCTAAAATAACAAACCGCCAAAGCTATCCTTGGCATTGAGAGATTAGGTATATGACAAGGACTACAAGGTAACAGGGCTTTTCTAAAGATAAATGGCAGAAAACAAAGCTCCATAACTCAGTTTCTATTCTTAAAAAATAAATAAATGAAAAGAAACAGGCCTTTCAATCTAGTGAAAACCAGATTTAAATGTCTTCCATTTTAGTACTGTTTGCTGATAGTTTGGGAACTAATGTTAAAAAGACCCCACCACTTGTTCAACTAAAGGAGCGCTCACGTTAGGCATTGCGCTCAATGTTCCAGTTACAAAAGTTCTGTGTGTCAGAGGGAAAATGTGTTAAAACCGTTCTGGGAAAGAGGTCCTGAGTTCGGGATGTTTCAGTGCACCCCCTAACAGGCAGAGATCCGTAATGCTCAGGGTTTTAACACCGAGCTAATGAACTGGAAGGTTGCCTATCAGATGCAGCTTCCCCACGTTTGTACATTCGTTCTTTGTGTGATACAAATCTGTTTGTGCTAGAGGAGTTTGCACTCACATTTGTCCGCTGTATAAGGCATTAATTCAGGGTTTGCTCTCCTTGGAGCCTCTGTCTGTGCTGGAAGCACAATTCCTGAGTGCAGCGTTCTGTGGGCACCTCATGGCAACAGCACAGCAGCCCGGCCCCAGCTCCACCATTCCTGCTTCTCTTGGCTGGGAATGTCCTCGTGGTTCCTCTCAGGAACACCCGTGTTGTGGGGTCAGATCAATTCCACACCACCGAGGGGAGACTGCAGCCTGCTGACTTGGGCAGAAAGTTTGATCACCGCACGACCTGCACTCAGGCAAGGCTCTTATGGGCCCTACTCTCGAGCTGCTTTAAACCCTAAGTGCCAGCGCGCAGCCAGCTGTAACGGTGGGAACCACCAGGCGCCAAAATGCTTTGCTGCAACGTCTGCCGGGGTACAGCAGCTCCCTGGTGGGGGGGAGGGGGGCACCACTGTGTGAGGTGATGCTGGGGGCTGAGAGCGGCCTTTGAACCTCAACGTGAATTTGAGACCTCAGCTCATCACGCCTGCCCCGGAACAGAAGCTTGGCGCAACGCCACACTGCCCACATCCAGCCCTCACAGCACCCGCCATTACTGAGGCGCTCAGGGGGCGGGGCGTCCCGTCCTCCCTCCCCCCCCTCCCGCCCACGGCCCCTCCCGCCGCTGTGCCGTGCGTGTGACGTCAGTGCGCAGCGCTTCCGGGAGCGAGGCGGGCGGTGGAGGAGCAGCGCTCTGCCATCGGCTGCCGCCGCCATTTTGTTGGTGCGCGCAGGGCGGACGCGGGTCTCGCTCGCCTTTTTTTCTCAGTTGTAAGTGACGGAGGCGGCCTAATTCTTCGGTTGTTTTTTTTCTTTCTTTTTCCTTTTTTTCTCTCTCTCTTTACTGTTTCTAGGGAGGCTGGAGCGGAGGGGTTTGGTGGGGGGTTGAGGGGCCGCAGGGCCGGGCGAGCAGCGTGAGGGAGGGCGGTGCGGTGCGGTGGGAGGCGGCCCGCGGTCCGGCAGCGCTCCTGTGGGGCTTTGCGTAGTGCGGAGCGGGGGAATCGCGGCTGGGGTTCAGAGTACGGAGGGCGGCGGACTTCGGCCGTGCCGGCGGAGCGGAGCCGTGACCTCCCGGTGCGTGCCGAGTTGGCGGGGGGGGGCGCTGAGAAAATGCTGCGTGCGCAGAGCCGGCGGGCCGCGGCCTGCACGGCCCCGTGTGGGGGTGAGGGCGGCCCGCGGGGTGCGTTGGGACCGCGAGCTGTATAGGAAGGCGTGCGTTCGTGTCAGCTGTCGGTGTTACGTAAGGGCATCGGTGCGTAAATTTAGAGTCCGTAAGAGCGCAAGAAAAAAAAATAATAATAATCTTAAGGCGGATCCTGCTGTGAAATAGATTGGACCTCGCTCGTGTCGATTCTCCGACAATCTGCAACAATTACTTGCTCGTTATGTGCTCATTAGCCTTTACTCGGGTCCCTTCAGGACAGGAGACCCAGCTTCTGCCTTTATTAACTGCACTTCAGTCCAGAGTTAATCAGCGGTTTGTCCTCAGCAAAACCTTTTCTCGAGGGTTCTGTGGGAAATGCCCACCCTCCCTCTGCAGGGCTCTTTTGTGGGGATCTTATTTAATATTTGCCCCTTTTATAGGGCCTCATTGCAGGCTGCCAAATGGGAGGGAGTAAAATCCTCAGTTCACCTGTGAGAGAGTTGGCTGGGGGAACAGAATGCTTTCCACCTCAAAAATAGAATAGCTGCAATCTGAGAGTGCCTCACAGTTCGAGTTATGTAGGTTGGAAATAGAGAAAAATGGCTATAGAGGTGGGTAAGAAAATAAGAAACGAAGCACTGACAGATCTTACTTCTGTCTTGACCCTTCAGGCATGTTTATTGGTGGATTAATGTTTTAATTTCTTACTAGTGTGAATAAGATTTTCAGGAGAGCTGAATCTGGTTCAGATGGTCCAGTCACTTAGTTTTGTAGTATTTGAAACATTTCTGTAAAACAAGCAAGCGATTTTTTTAACTACCAGCCTGTCAGAAATGTTAAGTGTCTTAGCAGGCTTCTTTTTCAGAAGCAGGTTGCCATGTGTGTGTTCTAAAAATTCCCTTCTTTATGCCTCCAGTTGGTATAGAGGCAACCAGTTTTGTTAGTGACAATTTGCACAGTGAAATGCCCTTTTTTTTTAATGTTACAGTTATTTCTAAACTTCTGTTCTTGCTGTCACTCAGTGCTGTGAAAATACTTAGTTTGTTTTTCAGAATACACTGAAAGAAGTATGTGAGCTTATTTTTGCTAAAGGAGATGAAATGTGTGCAATTGATCCTGATGGACTCTTAATTCTACAGCTGTGCTTTGCTTTCTTTTTCAGCTGTGCATGTACCTGTTTGAACACCGAATTCCTGCATATAACGTCCAGCAACAGAAGTTGGTGGGTTTTGTCGTTGGCAAGTCAGCTGTATTGTGGAGCACCTGCACTTGTGTGCTGGCAGAGTTCAAAAACTGTGGTTTGGCTCCTGGTACCTCAGTTAGGTTAATTTATCAACATGCGCTGTATGATTACTTAAAAAACAAAACAAAAAAACCAACAGTGTAAAGAGGTTTGTGGGATGTGTTTGAGGCCAACAAACACATCCCACATACGTGGCTTTCATGTAGTAACTTATTTACCCATGGTATGAAGAGCTAAATCTGCAGTTTGTCAGAATATTTGAAGGTTAAGGTCTCTCCAGGAGAAGTCTCTTTAAGGAAATGATTCTTTTTAGTCACTTGAGAGTTTATTTAAAACATGCTCTAATAACGTGTTTGAAGCTATTAAGCAAAGATGAGTTGGCCCATTTAGCCTTGATTTGTGTTTCATAACAGTGTTAGGATGGGAAAACTATGTCTGCTCACCTCAATAATGTGAGGGAGAAGCTGAGGTAGAAGAATTGAGGAAATGGTTTTCTAGTTCTGTCATTTGATCAAACTGCAGTCATGGACTCACAGCTACAAATATCAATGTAACACTTTTGTCTTCTGTGTGTTTTTTTGTGTGTGTTGTTTGTTTGGTTTGTGTTTTTTGTTTGTTTTTGTTGTGTTTTTCAGGAGCAGATGCGTCATTCAAAACAAAGCCACTGCCCTGAGTGGGATGACAGGAGGAGCTGGGATCAGAGAAAGCACAGCAGCAGCCGTAAGCGCAGGAAACGGTCCCACAGCAGTGGACAGGAAAGCAAGCACTATAAACCAAATCATGTTTCAGAAAGGTATAAGACTCTGAATTGAGTAGTGCTAATACTTCTTATTGTATCTAAAATACATGTTCAGGATAAGAGTTTCTAGATGTGCAGAGCAGGTAATTCCTTAAGGTTTGACTCAAGACAAGCTTAAGAGGTAGTTTGTATGCAATATTTAAATTATTAAATAAGAATTCTTTAATAAAAGCAGTAAGTGTTACTAGTTTGGTTCACTATTGCCAGTTAAACATTCAGTATTAAATTTCAAGTGTGTCTGTTTACTTACTTTTAATGTGAACAAAAGGAGGGGAAGATAAGGTTTGTTTAATAAATGGTAAGTATGAGTTAGATTTCACTTAATAATGTGGAGGTGGTTTGCTTTTTCTTCCACCCTGCTTTCCCTGGAAGGATGTTTTTCTGTTTTTCCTTTGAGAAGAAGATCTTGTGGAATTCTTTTAAGAGCTCATAGTCATGCTTGTAAAATGCTGGCAGGGGTATATGTACAGCAGCTGGGGCTCCTTGCCTCTGCTGCTTTAAGGCTGTTTGGCTTTTGTTTTTTCTGAGCGGAAGATTCTTGATCCAGGTACTTTCTGAAGTATTCAGTGTTGAAGGTAGAGCACTAAGGAATAATACTGCTTATCTTAGAATCTCCAGGTTCTGTCTTTCCTTTTCAATACTTGGAGCTTTGGAAGAACAGAAGGGGGTTATTGTTGTAGCAGGAGCATTTTATCCTGTGACTTTGGAGGTTGTAACTTGATTTGTTTGGTGTATTTTAGAAAGTGTCTCTCCTTTTTGAGGCCAGATTTCTTTCTTACTATGCAAACTGAACTGATGATGTATTTATTGTTCCTGTGGATGGCTACTATGTATTTGAGACTGACAATGTCATTAGTTCCTAATAAAGTAACGTGAAAAGCTCCACTTCTTTTGAGGAGGGAGTTAATTAGAAAAGTTCTTTGGTGTAAAGACGGATGCTGTGTAACTCAGTTCAATCACTTATCTTGTTGGAACCGCAAGTTTTTGAAGTGGAGAACATTCACTTAAAATATATTTTCAGTCATTATTTGGACGATAGAGCCATAAATGAAAGAGACCATCATGACCGGAGATATGTTGAGGAGTACAGAAATGACTTCTGTGAAGTATATGACCACAGGCATTATCACAGAGACTATGAAAAGAGTCACCATCATCACTATAGCAAATCCTCTGGTCGGAGCAGGAAAAGTAGTCATAAAAGGAAGCATAAGAGACATCATTGCTCCAGTCACCAATCACATTCGGTATGAGTAATTTTTAACTTTATTATTAATGAATTAGTGACAATAGACTTCTTAAGTGACTGCTAGAACTTCAATTCCTGATCACAGTACTTTGGGGAACATTTTATTACTGAAGGATTTGTAGTTGAATCCATTTGTGAGGGTATGAGTATGTTCTTAGTTACAAGTTTTGGATGGGGTTGTTGGGGGGGCCAGCAGTAACTGCACACTGGGTATGGAGGTAGCAAGTAGCCACAGCACTGCGATTATTTTGAGAAATGTTACCTTGAAAACGAAGGCACATAACTATGCTGTTGTACAGTGCAGTCATCCCTTTAGTCTTGCAGCATAGTGAACTGTCTGGTTTTCAGGTAGACTGTGAGATGCCATCCATCTTATTATTAAAAGCAATTGAAATAAAATGCCTTTTAAAAGTAAACCTAATTGGGTGTATGGAACATGCATGTCTGGTAAACTGATGAGAAGAAGCTGCACAATTCTACACCTGATTTCAGGAAACTTTACTAAGCCATGTGCCTGGCCAATGGCAGCTAATGTCTCACTGAAGATATATGATAACTTGCTGCTTGCCTTCATAGAAGGCACACTGTGAATTTCTCATGATGGGCACAATGCTTGCTGGTAAATCTTAGCTCTGAGCATTTTATGTCATGTTCCTGCTATACAAACAGCAGGTTGTAGTAGATTATGCCATGCAGACCAGTAGCTTGAAAGTAATTTTTCTTCACTCTTTATCTATAAGGGAAGTAAAATTACTTGATAGTCTTTAATATTTAGATGAGAAGAATTGTACGTTTTAAAAATAAAGACATTTCATCTGACTGTAAGTTTAGCTATGTAAACAAATATTGCTTTTTGCTGTATGATAGCAAAGTATTAGAAATAGTGACATTGCATACTTAATCTGTTTTCAATTAAGCCACTGTTTGAGAGTCAAAATTGTGTTGTTTTTTTCTGTTGCCTTATCACTTTAAGTATTTATCTGAAAATCTGTTCCTTGCCATGTTTTTCTTCTGTAACATAAACTGTGCCCTGTGAATTTCTGGGGACTGAATTTGAAATTGCTCCTGCCAACTGTTCGTGGCCTGGTGCGTTACTGAATGCCTGAATATCTCCCCGCTGAATGAATTGCGTATTCTGCCCTGAATTCACTCTGATATATTGATTGGCTGGACGATCTTGGTGCCGTTTCCAGAAGAGTCACCGAAGGAAAAGATCCAGGAGTGTAGAGGATGATGAGGAGGGTCACCTGATCTGTGAAAGTGGAGACGTTCTAAGAGCAAGATGTATAGAACATTTTTCAACACTTTTTTTAAAAAACTTTTCAGCAAAAAAGTCTGTTTAGAATAGTATGTCAGAGGAGGGGGGCTGAGGAAATCTTCATTACTCTTTTTGTTCTGTTTGTTTTTTTCGTGCTTTTGTTTTTTTGCATATCTTCTTTTCTGTAGAGTTTTAAGTACTGCATTCAAAAAGTTGCAAGTAGTAAATGAACTTGAGTTCTGAGATTAGAGCAAGAGATAGGGTTTTTTTTGGCTAACTGTTTTCATGACGCCTGTCCAATAAAATAACACGTTCTGTTGCTGAGATTTAAAGTAATTATGCTTTTTGTAATGGCACATTTTAAAATCTGCATTAGTAATATTCATTCTTACCTAAGTAGTTACATAATTCTGACTTTGGTTTGTTCTTTTTAGATGAAATTGTTGCGACTTTAGGAGAAGGCGCTTTTGGAAAAGTGGTGGAGTGCATAGATCATGATATGTAAGTGTCAGTAAGTGCCCCTCATGCCATAAGGTGCTGCTTAGTTTGGAAATTAAAGGGTTTTTTGTTTCTCCTTTTGCTCTGTGACAGCCCTTGCATGGTATTGACTTCATATAAGATGGCATATAAAGAAATATTTTTGCTTTTTCTCTTTGTTTTTGAGAAATCTGTCCTTAACAGTAAATTTTCTTTGCCACATTCTTCTTGAGAAACATCTGCCCTGAGGGGATTTATTTAAAAAATAATCCTGTGTGTGTGTGTGTATTTCGTTACAAACTAAGTGCATAGTGCAAATCACTAATTACTGGAGCTTGAAATCATGTGAAGGCAGGAAGTATTCCTAAGTATAGAGACGGTTTAAAATTGTCAGTGAGAGAATAGGATAGAGTGGGCTTAGTGTTGCTGTGTTCCTCGGAGTAATATCCTTAGCATTTCAGTGTGCTACTGAGTGCAGATCTGTTCGTACAAGCACAAAATATTCAGGATACAAACTTAATAAAATGAATTACTGCAATAAAATAAATGTACTGATGCCTTTAGGAGCACTGAGAGCTGGAACAAGTTACGTAAGCTGCCAAAAAAATGGACAAATTCTTGCAGTTGTCTTCTCAGAAGAGATCTTTGCAGGTTTTTGTGTCATCTTTTGGGTGGGTTCCTGATGTTTATTCAAAGTAAATCAGCTGTGTAAGACTGAGAAATAGTTAACGTTAGTGTATGCTGTGGGTGTATGAGCTTAGGAAGAACTGTTTCTACTTCAAAAAAAAAAAAAATAATACCTAGCTTTCCTTTGGAATTTGTTCACATTTCCCCTAATCCAGCTTGTAATCATCTGTGACCTTTGATTTTTTTTTTTGTTCATTTTATTATAACTAGGCTGCTTTGGCCCTGGAGATGTTTAATAATAACCGGTTTTGTTTGTGCTATTTCTCTGTATTTTGAAGGAGAGGAATGCATGTAGCAGTTAAAATAGTGAAAAATGTTGGTAGATACCGAGAGGCAGCCCGCTCAGAAATACAGGTGTTGGAACACTTGAATACCATGGATCCCAGCAGCACTTTGTAAGTATGGACATAGAGAAGCATACTAAGAATGCAACAAAGGAATGAGTTTGTGTGTTTATATTCTTTTTTTCTTTTTTTAAGCCGCTGTGTCCAAATGCTGGAATGGTTTGATCATCATGGCCATGTTTGCATTGTTTTTGAGCTGCTTGGACTTAGCACCTATGATTTCATTAAGGAAAACAGCTTTCTGCCATTTCATATTAATGACATTAGAAATATGGCTTACCAAATCTGCCAATCTATAAACTGTAAGTAAACCTGATTACTGTTATCAAACATGTTTATGTTCTCTCTTCTTTTCACTTTGGTAAATTAATCTGTTAATTATGGGATATTTTTCCTTTGTTTCTTACAGTTCTACATCATAATAAATTAACTCATACAGACTTAAAGCCTGAAAATATTTTGTTTGTGGAGTCTGATTACATAGTGAAGTACAACGCAAAAATGGTAAGTGTGCGCTTTTTCTCTCACCATTGCAACTCTGTCTTCATCTGAAGTTTCCTTTTTAGCACAATTATGTTAACTGGAATTCTGAAAATTGATAATGTGATATCTTTTGCACGAGTATGCTTTTAAAAATAATAACAAATAGCACTTGGATTCTTTTACAGAAGCGAGATGAACGCACCTTAAAGAACACAGACATAAAGGTGGTTGATTTTGGAAGCGCAACTTTTGATGATGAACATCACAGCACTTTGGTGTCCACAAGACATTACAGGGCTCCTGAGGTCATCTTAGGTCAGTGGAAGCCTCCAAACTTCCTGACAGATAACCAATTCATCCTGATGCTGTTATTTAGTAAACTGGAGGGGTGGCTGATGGTTCTCACAGTTGAGCCATCTCTTACAGGTGGTGACTTTTTGAAAGTCTGAAGTAGAAGGAAAAATTTCTTGAACTTGAGACACATCCCTCCTTCTTGCCAAATAGGGTGGGGAGGGTTGCGAATGGGGAAGGCAGGCATCAGATGATGCATAAAAACTGGATGTATTCTTCAGTGGATTGCAGATTTTAAGAATATATTAAAAAGTGAAAGAAACTTTGCATGTTTTGCAGCACTGGGATGGTCGCAACCGTGTGATGTTTGGAGTATTGGCTGTATTCTAATTGAGTATTACCTGGGATTTACAGTGTTTCAGGTATGCATGTAAAGTTAAGTGGAACGTTTTTGTTACAGATTCCTGACTTTGATCTTGTAATGCCGTATACTCAACGTTTAGTTTAAAAGGCTTAACCTTACAAGATATGAGTATTACAGAGATAAGATCGTGCAAAACAGTTGGAATCTAAAGATGCTGCAGTGATACTTTGGCAAATGTTGCTTTTTTTTTTTTTTTAACACAGACACATGATAGTAAAGAACACTTGGCAATGATGGAAAGAATACTGGGGCCTCTGCCAGCTCATATGATCAAGAAATCCAGGTATGTACATGACAGAAGGAGTAAGTTGCCTTATATATTCCTCTTGTAAAAGAAATTTTAAATGTTCCAGTTAAGACTTGCAGGCTTGTTAGCTGCTGGTCTGTTGTGAGAGATTGTGTCAGCTTTAGCTGAGTGTAAGCAGTTGGGAACAGTCCTAACAGTGACAGCATCTTTTCCTTGTCACACAGAAAGCACTATTTTCACCATAACCAGTTGGACTGGGATGAACACAGTTCTGCAGGCCGGTACGTCAGGCGGCGCTGTAAGCCTTTAAAGGTAGGAGAGCAGGTTTTGATTATCTTTTGTCACGGAGTGACAAGAAGCATAAAACCATGACATTCTGTTGGATTCACAAATGTGAAAGAGCTTTTAAATACTTTGTTTGTTTTTCTAGGAATTCATGCATTGCCAAGACACAGATCATCAAAGTCTGTTTGACCTCGTTCGCAGGATGCTGGAGTATGATCCAGCCAAAAGAATTACTCTCGATGAAGCCTTGCAGCATCCTTTTTTTGACCCATTAAAAAAATAAATGAATTCAAATGTCTTCTATGCTTCTCCAAGGAGATTTCCTAGACTGTGTCAGTCAACAAAGGTTGCATGAAACTTTTGTAAACTTTTAAGTTATTTTGTACAGTTAAGTCTGTAAATACTTTTGTTTTGTAAACTGTCATGTTTATCTTGTTGAGCAGTTGTAGTCTTGATTATGGATATCAAAGTGAAAAATAAAAGTAATTTTCATTTTTGAAAACTGTTTTCTCTTTGAAACTTAACCCACTTCTTCGGAAGGTGCAGCTATTAAACATCTCATTTTTTTGGCAGAGATGTTCGTAGGCCTTGAATTTGTTGTGGCATCTTTAGGCCCTTCTCTTGCAGTGGTTACCAGATGGTCCTGAAGTCTTCAAATACATATTTCTGTGGAGCTCAATCTGCAATGAAGAACTAGTAACTTTGGGAAACACTGATCAGCCTGTCATAGAGGAAGGATGAGGATGGGTCCTGGGTTGTAACTCCTGAACACAGGGCCTGAGTGGTGCTGCTTTATTTTCTTGGGTAGCTTTTGCCCTTCCACATCTGAATAGCTGTTTTCTTGGTCTAGCTCTCACTCGTTGGCACAGTGTGGAGGGCTTACTGGGCAGGTGGGTAGGACTCATCTTGGCTGTCTACCACTCTGGATGTAGTATGCAAGTTTTAGCCATTTATTGCAGGCTTTAGCATGCAAGTCTTATCTTGAGAGAAACAGCAAACTGTGTCAGCTCCACAGGAGACTGAGTTCAGGTTTTGTGTTTGCATGTGTATGTCCTAAAGCTCAGTAAGATTTGAAACTGATGTCTGTTCCACAAATATGTGGGGCAGTCTGAATTTGCAAGAGGCTCCAGACATGCCTATCAGTTACGCTGTAGCTGGGAGGAGGCTTTGAAAGCTTATCTTCTGTAAGCAGTGCCACCTCCTGAGCTTGGTGCTGTGCCTTCATCCAGACCCCCTTCCTGGGTTGCTCGTATCATTGTTTCTCCTTTGCAAGATGGAACTGAATGGTTTCGACCCGGTCAGCAGTGAATGTGGTGGGATTGAGAAGGACAGTGTGAATCCTCCCACGCTGCTTTCTGTCCCGCACATTCCTCAGGTGCAAAGCAGGCGCTTGGCTGAGCATATCAGCATAAGTAATGCAAATCAAAGGCAGATGAGAAAGAAAAATATATACGCTGCTCTATCAATAAAACTAACTGTAAAACAGCACTATCAGAATTTGAAAGGTTGTGTACTCGTGCTGAAGCAGTACTTGTAGCTTTTGCTAATTTGTGTTTGCAGCATATGAGCTGAGTTTTATCTGATGATGCTTTATAGATGAGTCAAGAGTTGGTGTGATGCAATCTGAAACAGAGAAAGCGGTCCTCTGGCCAAGTCTGGAGGTGTTCAGTGTTTATATAGGAGCAGAACTTCTCTTATTTAAAGGCTCCCCGCTAAATAGAATAAAATAAGAAGTGTGGGAGGAAGCAGCCCAGCGCTCTCGCAGCTCTCGCTCAGTCGCGGTGCCGCCGCGGGCAGCACCGCTGGAGGGCGCCGTCCCCGCGCGGAGCGGCTGGGATCGGAGCGGGGCGGCCCGGCCGTGAGGAGCTCCCAGCGCCCCGCACCGCCCGGCCCGGGCTGGGAGCGCTCCCCGCGGGGGGCCGGCGGCGGGCAGGGCAGGGCAGAGCAGGGCGGCGGGGGTGGGATCTGCTCCGCGTAATCCCCCCGGGGGGCGGCGGGCCGCTCTCGGAGCATCCCCCCCGTCCCCGGCGCGGGGAGGGGAGAGCCGCCACCCCCCGCTTCCTCCGTTTAAGACCCGGGCCGGCGAGGCGAGAGCGGAGGAGAGCGGCCGCTCCGCAGCTGCCGGCCCCATTTCGGCGGCGGGGCGGGCGCTGGATGAGCCGCCGGCGGGAGGCGGCCGGCAGCCGAGCGGGTCCGATCGCGGCGCGATGAGCGCGGGCGGCAGCGGCTCGGCGGGCACCGCCACCTCCGCGCTGTGCCTGCTCCTCTCGCTCACCGCCGTGGCCGTGTGCCTGCTGCTGGGCGCTAAGACCGCCGAGCTGCAGGGCCGCCTGGCCGCCCTGGAGGAGCGCGGCGCCGCCGGCCCCGGGCCGCTGCTGGACGCGCTGCAGCCCCGCGTGGAGCAGCTCCTGCGCGAGGTGAGTGCGGCGGGGCGCAGCTCGGGGCTCCCGGCGGCCGCCTCCCTTCCCGGCTGCTTTTTCCCTCTCGCCGAACTTTCTTCCCCCCTCGTTTTCACTGCACTTTGGAAAGGTTTAACGCGCGAGACCCTGCCGCTTTCCCCCTCGTTCTGTTCACCGGCAAAGGTGATCCGAGTACCGAAGTGCCGTTTATCTCCGGGCGCAACGGGCTGGAATTCCTTCGTCAGAAATTCGCGGACGGGATCCGCGCCTCTGCGCTCCGCGTGCTGCGGCGGTGCTGAACTGCGCGGCGGAGCAGCGCCCGTCTGCGTCCCCACCTCCCGGCTCCGAGAGCTCTGAAATCCACCGCTACAGCTTTCTGTGCTGACACGTTCCTCCTATTAACGAGGCTCTCCGCCCGGGGTTCCTCTCTGTAAGCGAACCTCCGGGCGAAGCTGGGCTGGGACACCGCCGCTCCCCGGGTCTCTGTGATGGGTCTCGATCACGGGGAATGCAAAAAAAAAAAAAAAGTGCGTGTGTGCGTGTGTGAAAGCCCTGAATGCCAGAACAGAGGGGTGCTTGTGAGGCGTAATCACAAAATCTAGTTAACGTCTTTTCAGCAGGCAGGAACCAGCCTGCCGGCCGTGGCCGTGGTTCTGTTCCAATTACGCCAATAAATGTGCTTAGCAATGGGAATGGTTTCTGTGGCACTGCCTAAGATCATGTGCAGCCTCTTGCTGAGATTTAGTTAAGTGTGGAAAGCTTGTTTTGTACTGGGAGCGCTCGAGTGGAGATTGTGCAGGGGAAAATAAAGCAAAACCACATAATTGGGCTTCTAATGCAAGAGCGAGCTTGTTGAAACGTTCAGTATGACCAAACTTTTGTCAATACCGAAATCATGGGTAACAGATGCAAGGAATGCATGGGAGCCATCGCTCTCTCTATTAATCACCACTGTAAACGAGCTTATTCATTTATGATAAAGGTCGAGAACACATCTGTATCGTGGTCACATTCCTCTTCGTTACATAAGGCTCTCACTGGGCAGCATCTGTCCTTCTGTGCTTGGGAGTTTCTGGGGAGAGAGGGAATATTTCCATGGCCACAAACATCAGCCGATGCCTGGGGTCAGTTTTTTTTTTTTTTGTTAAACTCCATTCTGGTCCTTCTTTGAAGTTTACCACAGTATTTCAGAAGTGAAACCAAAGCTCCATATGCTGTCTGTGCACGACCCCTCGTACTTTGTTCTCCGTCACTGCGCATGCAGTTACTGCCTGTGCTGCTCCTGGGGTCTGCGGGTGCAATGTATGGAAGAGCTGCAGGCGCAGTGCAAACATGAAGGTTTGCACTGCTTTGAGTGTCGTTTAAGTGTTTGGCAAGTAAGAGAGGATAGGAAGTAATAAAGGAGGGGTGAGTGTGTAGTTAAGGGTATGAAAGCCAATTTGGACAACTGCAGTCAAACTTCTAGCTCTGGATGGGCATCCATCTAACAGCACAGAGACGGCTGCTTTGGGGTTGCAGGACCTTTGCTTTCCCTCGTGTGTTCCTTTAGCCCTGCAGGGTTCTGGGCTGATGCCTCCAAAACCTTCCCAGCAGTGCTGTCCAAATGTGGTGGCATCTCCACTGCGTCCACAGCAAAAGCCTGAATTCGGAGCGTGTCACATTTGTACCAGAGTGAAAAAGTTAACGTGGGGATGAAGGAGTGTCCAGTTGTTGTAAACAAAGCCGGACCGTTTTGTTCACAAAGGATTCATTGTCTGCAGTAGGCAGAGAGTGTCCGGATTAATCAGCTTCATGATGAGAACAATTCAATGGGAAAACAGAGGACTCCTTCCAGCATCCAGGACAGGGCAGGCTCTCCCCTGGTGTTCCCAGCAGTGCCTGCAGAATGAAAGAATGGCAGAGCTGCTTCTCTTTTCCTCGAGCACCTTCGCCATCCAAGTAATTTAGAACATATAAAATTCCAGTGATGCTCTGTTAGATTCTAAGTGGATGCCGTAAAAGTCTCTTTAGATCACTTTTTTGCTGCTTTCTCTCAAGCAAAGCGTGTGTGCTGCTGTCATGCTTCCCTTAGGACAGCTTCTCTGTGAAACCGCGTGGATGCTTTCAGGATCTCTGTGCATCACATCCAAGCAGCTCGAAAAAGATGCACAGCATTTCAGCAACAGCATTTCAACAATCTCCAGAATAAAGGACCAGAACCTAGCTCTCAGGTAGCTGAATTCCCGAACAGTCTGCAGTCATCAGATATTTGAACACAGACTTGGTCATCAGCTGGATAAAAATCAAGCCTGAGCACCCCAAACTCTATGAGAACATGAGTTTTCTCTCTTGTAAATGTTGGAGTAGAGACTCCAGTTATCAGATTGCTGTTGCTCTCCTGGTAGATGCTTTGGGTGAGTCAGAGGATTCGAAAGGACTCGGAGAGTAATGACTGTGGGTGAAGAGGACTTGCCCTTAGTCTTGCAGGGCTACCCCAGCCACGAGCACTGTGCCTGAGCTCACATAACTTACCTGTCATCAGGACTCATTAACTCCAGCTTGGCACTGCCCTAAATGCAGGCACGAACATTTCGGTTGGCTTAGAGAGCAGGCAGAATGTGCTCACATCTGTCTGCAATACGCCACGTGGGCAGATTTGGGGAATTTATACATGTTTTAGTAGTCCCGCCGATCACTTCTTCGCCTTACAATGGCAATGTGTTGGTCTTCAGGTGGACCTGGGGGTGTGTGAGCACCACAGCATCTGCCCATCACCCCCCCACCCCTCTCCTAAGGAGGACCATAGTGCTTCACATAGCTTGAGTACAAATACAAAATTAGCAGCATCAGGTATTGTGTGAGCATCCCCTGCTAGGTGACCTGCATTGCTGTGCTTGGTTGCAGAGCAGCATTTGCATCACTTTGCCTTTGGCCAATGGAGCAGCGCAGGGTTCTCTGCAGCACTGCTTCTGCTAACAAAGAGAAAGCACTGAGCATTGAGAAAGCTCAACAGGGAACTTAATAATATCTAACCTGGGTCTGATAACTGTCCCATGCATGTGCACAAACCCAGCCCATGGGGCTTGGCCCAGGTGACCTTGGGATTTGCAGAATGGGGGTCATTGCCTGAAACATTCAATACATTGTGTGCTGCTCTACGCTTTGTCTTGCAAAGCTAAACACAGCAGGGTGAAACCATCGCCTCTCCCTCAAAGGAAGCATGCTGGATGCTTGGGCTGTTGGTATGCACACACAGCATGCTCTGAGATAGAACGTGTTCCCTAAATGGCTGTTTTTATTCCTTCTCCAAACAGAAGCTGGGCGAAGGACTCGCGAAGCTGCGGACGGCGAGAGAGGCTCCGTCAGACTGCATGTGCCCACCAGGTAAGTGCAGAGGGATCAGCACAGCCACGCTGCACTGCCTGGGAGCTGCCAGCTCTATATTCACCTATACCATGTAAAAATGTTTCTCCAAGCTGAATTCCTGCCTTGTGCTGGGGGCTATTGATTTCTTCCACCGCCTCGCTATGGCCTGCGTACAGATCAAGGAGTTGGAGGTTTGGACTCTCAGCTGTATGAACAGCAGAGTGAACAGCTTTGCTCGGTTGTGAGCACCGGGTGTTGGGCCAAAACAATTTAGAAGCAGTAACAAAATCACTGCGGCTTAATGCAAGTGTGATAATTAAAAGCTGCAGCCTCTCTGCTGTGAGGAGGGAGAGACATCTCCGGCACTGCTTTGCCGTATGAAAGCTGTCGCTGATTGTTTAGATTTCCTCCCAGAGTTTAATGAACTTCTTAAACTGTCAAAACTTCCTGTTCTGCTGTGGAAGTGCATGCTCCTTGGAAACAATAAACAGCTTAGATTCGTTTGTAAAGGAATCTCATTTATAGCAAGACTCAGTGAGTGCTGTGCTGTCACACTGATGGCATGAATGACTCTGGGCTGAGGCACTTCCAACTTTCTCTGTTGGTTTTTTTCCCTACAGAAGTAGTGAAAGATGGGTGAAAGATGTGCAGTGCTTTGGTGGTTGGGAATGCAGGAGTCTGTTACAAAGCCCCGTGAGCAGCAGATCGTTCAGTTCTGCTTTTAAAGAGAAAACCCAGCCTGAGTGTTACATGCAGGAGCACTGCAGGCAAACGTCTGACATTTTCCTAACGTCCTGGATATGAATCACAGCAGGATGCTCAGTATTTGCCCATACTTAAAACACAAAAAAAGATGTGTGTTCTTGGTTGGTTTGTTTTTTCTCCCCTTAAGACATGTGATGGCCTCGGAAATACATCAGCAATGCTTCTCTGCAGTGTGCTGCTGCAGTGGCACCAGCGGGCTGTCAGGAGGAAGGCTGTGGGTGTCCTGTGTGCCTTGGAACCCAACCACATTGGCCACACCAGGGCTGCTTTCAGCTCCTTGGAGACTGATGGACAAATTGATTTCCTGCCCTCTGAAGCACAGCCCCTTGGCTCTGTGGGCTGCGGGTTGCTGGGCCCATGCAGAGGGCACTGCTGGTGTGATTAAATGGTCAAGGAGCTTTTCCTTTGCTCTGCAGAAAGCAATTGAGATTTAAGAGTTCCTTTGTTGCCAGGAAGGTCCCAATTCCCTTCTGGGTCACTGGGTTTGCTGGTCAAGAGATGGGGAAGAGAAAGGGGGGAAGGCTTTCCCACGTGCTGTTGAATTGTTTGTTACAGTCATTAGCAACAAATGCCCAGGTAATTTGTGAGCCCAGTGCTTGTCTGCTGGGCAGGGAGTGCTGGGGTGGCCATGGCTGCTCCTGGGCCCCTCTGCTGTGCTTAGGTGGGGATGTGCTGTGGAGCAGATCCTGAAACCTAACAGCTATTTTTGGAACCAAATCAAAGGAACTTTTACACACGATGCTTTTTGTGGTGCCAAACTGCAAACTATCAGTGTGGCCCCACAAAAGGATCCAGCAACCCCACAACTGGAAGCTGGCACCTCAGCCATGGCAGCCTCTGCCTCTTCCAGCAGTGAGCAGCGCTCACAGACCTGCACAGCTCCCCTGTGCTCTGGGTTTGTTTTGGAGAAGACCCGTTTTGCTTTAAATGGAGTCTGTTTTGGGGTTTTGTTACTTCTTTCTGGGCTGGATGGGTGCTGAGGTGCTGGGGCTGGCGGCCAGCAGAGGGGGCCAGGCTGTTTCATGTGGGCCACAGAGAAATCCCGACCATAAAACATTACAGCAATAGGGAAAGAGCTTAAAAAAATACTGCTGCCACGTCTCTGACGTTCGGGATGCTCAGAAAGGTCTCTGTGTTTTCTCTCACCACCTGCGTTTGTGGGATTCACGGGGATGCGTGGAGATTTGTTCTGCTTTATTTATTCACCAAAAGCACTGTGGGATGGGGTGTGGGGGAGAGGAACACTTTGTGTCAGTTTCGCTTCTTCATCATTTGGGAATTTATGTGAAGAGTGGGAAGAATACAGTCATGGGTGTCCTGAGGGGGCAGCAGTGGGTGCAGAGCGGGCCTGGTGCAATGAGGAGAAGGGTGGTGATGTTGATCCCACTGTGGTGAGCAGTGGGGTGGTGGTGGAGGTGGCCCAGCAATGGTGAGGGTTGGGGTGGTGGAGATGATGACCCCACAGTGCTGAGGAGCGGAGCCTTCCAATTTTCAGCGCTTGCAGCTTTTTGGGGGTCTGCAGCCGTTGCGTGCTGCTGGTGCTGGCCAGGCTGAGGACAGGCTGTCCCCACATGTTGGCTCACAGCACAGCAGCAGTCAGTCTTTTTATTGTTGTCATGCACTGAGCCAGGCTTGGTGAGCTGTGCAGAGACGCCCTGTTGCGTTATGCTCAGTCTCCCCCCCTGGATGGGGTCCTCACATCGCCTTCCCCATAAGATGCATCTCAGCAGGTGCAGGAGCATTTGTTTACATGGCATTTAGGACACACTTCAGCTCAGGAGCAAGTGGAGGTGGGCTAGAAGCAAAACTAAACCTTGGTGCTTGCAGACACCTTGCTCACAGCTGTGTGCCTGCTGCGGCCGCGTGCCTTTTTGTTTAGCTGTACCTCCTGAGGCTTTGTGCTCAGCATTGTTGAGGAGCCCAAACTCTGATTTCCTGGCTGCCGGGAGATGCATATCCCCGTCTTCATCTTGAATCCATGATCAGAGGCTTTTGAATGTATGTATATATTACAAAGCGGTGCTAAATATTCAGTGTGGTAATCTGATGTTCCAGTTAATATGTGACAAATATTTCCCAATAACAGCTTGGCAACACGAGGGCTGAGTGGTGCTTCAGCCTGTGGGATGGCGTGGTGTTTTGTTTTGGGGCAATTCAAACCACGTGTTCTGGGGGAACTGATGGCTTAAAAGGCTCCGTACCTCTGCATCCTCAGCAATGCCAGAGGCTCTCTTGCTGCACTTTTTTTTTTTTTTTATGATAATTTTTACATTTTAAAGCACGTGGATGGGCTTTTCCTTCTTGCTGGGAACATCTGCTCTGTGGTTCCCAACAACTTGAAATATCTGCCTCGTTTTTACTGGTGTAAATGTTGTCTTCAAGTGTCACTTGCTATCTGTCTTCTCCCTTCTTTGTCTCTCCAGGTAATTAGCACAACAGAATTTCCCTAATTGCTGGAGATGAAGGAGGAGAGGGCTCTGTTTGCTTTGTAGCCCTGACAAATGGCAGATGTTTTCCAGCAGGCCAAATGCAATACACTGAGCTCCAACGCGGGTTCTTTGTTTTGTACTTGTGCGTGATAGAAGCTCTCTGCTATTTCTGTTTCTATGTCTGGGTCTGCAATTCTGCATTTGTAAGTCATCATGGCTCTTTCACAGTGGTTAAATAGATGTAGAAAATTATCAAACGAAAGTGTTTCTTTTTGAAATTAGCAGTGATCTTGTCTTTCCAAGTTGCATTGCATCTACTGAGCTCAAGAGTGTGAAGTTACTCATCACTGTAACCTCAGGACATGGTTCCCTACCCACTGAAGCCATTCAGATGAAGTACTTTTCTGTAGTTTCTTTAATTTAGAATGAGAAAAGGTCTTCTGAATGTCTTCAATGTTTTAAATGTTTCTGAATCCTCCTAACCTCAGTTTTTTATGAGAATTTCTTTCCATTCCTTGCCGTGCCAGTCACTTTCTTTCATCAGGGTTTGGTTCCTCAGTCTGACTTTACCCACAGGAGGCCAGGATGCTATAATCACAGTAGTAATATAAACAGGATTTTCTTGCCCTAAACAACAATCAGAATTCTTTCCTGTGTAGAAAAACTTGTGCCAGGATTTTTAAAAATTACCCAGAAACCACGCATTAAAGCATCCACGTGAGGATGAACAAATGTCTGCGAAGGGCTTTGGACAGAACGGGCCATAGAAACGCAGGCACTCCCTTTCAAATGGACATGTTTGCAAATCTTAGCCTTTCAAAATAGGATCCCATCTCAGATCTCTGCAGCTCTTGGGAAAATGTCGCTCTGCTCTGCGTCTCTTTGAGCATAAAAGCTGCTGCCAGCTATGTTCCATCGGCTCCTTCCTGGCGACCTTCCCTGTCCCTTTTGGGTATTCGTGGAAGGCCCTGAGGACATCTGGAGCTGTGTCTGCACACCACGTGTGCAAAGGTTCCGTGCAAAGGTTCCAGCCTGGGGCTGCCTGGGCCGGGCACTGCTGCCCTGAGGCTTTGCAAGGCATTGGAGCACTGAGGCCCCAAGAGCAGCACGCCAGGACCTGGGCCTTTCGCAGCAACATTTGTCCGCTTCAGCAAAAATTAATTAAAAATGGTGACATCGATGGGAGAAAGCTCTGAAAATTTATTTTTTCTAAGTCTGCCAAAGTTATTTGGACTGTAATGAAAACTACAAAAATAAACCTGACGACCGTATCCTCTAGGAGAAGCTCTGTGTAACCGTATCTTTGTCTTGACATATGAAGTCATTTATCTAGACGTGGTATTTCTGCTGCTAGCCCCGTCATTGCTGCCAGTCCGGACGACGGGAGGCACTGAGGCTCCCTGGGTCAGTGCTCATGGACCGACTCACCTGGAAGCTGCCCATCAGCTGTTTCCTTCTCTTTCTTGATCAAATAATGGATGGCTATCACCCATGCGAGCAGCGATTTGGCTCTGCAGAACTGATTACTGAAAACAGCCTGGCTTGGCTGTTATCTGCTCTGTCTTCATGCTGCCTTATTGAGACAGTAGTGCCACCATTTTCTAACAATCCTCTGTGCAGTAGGATGGGAACATATTCCAAACCCAGTGTGCTTTGTGTTGACGTTATCTTTCTGGGTTGATTCCCCAAAAGGATAAATCTTATCAGTAGATTTGGGATGATTTTACAGATTGCTGGTCAGGAGAGTCCCTTTCAGTTCTTGTAAGAGTTTCCTTAGAATAAAGTAAACTGAACTCTTAAGTCTGGCACCTAAATAGCATGCTA